GGTTTTTGAGTTACAAGTATTAGTTTTATTTTTGACAACTTTGAAGGCCTGTAATTCAAAAAAACAAATTTATTTAACTTTTTTTCCTAGATTTTTTTTTTTGTTATTTATCGTCGTGAATATGCAGTTAAGCGTTGTCGATGAAATTTGCGGACACCCTGTATGTTAATGAATTTTTTCCTATCAGTAAATGATTCATTGACAAAATTACAGGAGATTTTAATTATACTGAAATTTCAAGTCAGACTATTTATAAAATATATTAAATAAATTAAGATACGAAATCTTGATCAGCAGAAATATTTTTTGCAATTAGAATAATTATTTTAAATACCCCCGGACTACTATCACCAACACTACGAAGAAACATTTTTGGAACCACTGATTCCATCGCTAGCTCAGCTCGCTCTGGGGCCTTAAGGTGTTATCATGTTTGTTAATTTGTTGTTACTGTTCATTTGTATTTATTAAAGTATCAGTTTAAGAATTCAGCGGAAAAAATTCTTTGTGCAATATCGCCTGTCAACTTTTTGATTCATTCTCTTTAAAATAATCTGTTGAAGAGCATTGTACGATGATTTATTACATTTACATTTTTTGATAAAAATATTAATTTTTGCGAAAAAAATATTATTAATTTAAAAAGGTGAATAAAAGGCAAAATTTATCCTATAATTGATTTTTTAGCAACAGTGACAATTTCAATAATTTGGATCACAATGAAAGAGCAAATCTCAGCGGTTTGAAGTTTGAGGGTTTCTTTGGGATACTTTTGAGGTTAAAAAAACCGAAAACATCCTTAGTCTATTAATTATTATTATTATTATTTCAATTTTAGCGAAAATCCTAAAATATCCAAATTTTTACCTTTTCTTGAATCAAGTTTCTTGCATCGAAAAACTAAAAAGGCTGGCAAGTGGTATTGCCAAAAAAAATTATTGAAGCCCATGGGTCCTTCTCCTCCTTCTCCTCCTCCTCCTCCTCTTCCTTCTTCTTCTTCTTCTTCTTCTTCTTCTTCTTCTTCTAGTGGTTGGTTTTAATCAGGCCTATTATGCATCCCATTACTCAATCCTATACAGCAAGTAGTTTTGTCCTATTTACCAAGTCCAAAAGCTTCCTTGCGACACTTTCCTCAGCTCCTTATCTTCCAGATAGTTTTTCCACGAACGTCATTCTACTATGTGTCCGTGGACCGTTTGAAAGGGAAGCAAGAATTTTGAAAAATTTTTTCCGCCGGATTTCTTTTGATTTCTTGAAGGTGACCAACGATAATATTTTTGACTTCCATATCCTGAAGCTAGAAACTTCAGACTTCAATTTGTTTTTTTTAATTGCTCTACGGCCATTTTCTGACAAGTTACAACCTTTTGAAAATCACCTAATTTTTTTATCTTTTAATTTTTATGGCTAGTTTCTTCATTTTACCTGAACAATTTTCTTTTTTTTATGAATGCGCTCCTAGGCTCAGTTTATTTCAGTCTAACACTCTATTAACTTAAGTAATCTGGGTATAGGATTTCCTTGTTATTAAACGTTGTATTAATTGGGAGATTTGTGTGAAATGATGGACGTGCAATCCTATTCGTATATCGAATGCCAGATAGCGGTAATAGATAAAACAAGAGACCTCTAATGGATGCTAATACCTGTGCCGAAGAAACCCAGTAGTACCCACTATTAACGCATGTTTTGTGATGGTTCTTCGACAGCTAAGCCGCCAATCACGCTGCCACTAGGCGTCGCCCGCTTTATCTCTCGGTATTGTGTCAAGAGTTGGGTCGAGATTCCGCCGAAAGGCCCATCGGCGATCAACAATAAAAGTCCTTAATATAATGGAAGACTTTCAGTAGTCAGCTCCTTTGAAGGCCTTCCTCCTGTTAATTACTTTTTGAACCCGCTGCCGCTGTAGAGGAGCGACTATCTCTAAAACGGACAGACGTTGGATTCGAGGAACTTGTTCGCTCGTGAATCGATCAAAAAGCTAATGCAAGTCACGGAACCAAATACAGGTTGTCGGTGGTGCAAGTCTCGTATGTGGAATATGTAGCAAAATTTTGAAAGATAAACATGACAGAAACATGAATATTGTATACAGGGTGTATCAAGAAAAATATATGCAGTCATAATTAATTTTTTTAAGGAACACCCTCTATATTTTGCCATTTTTGAATTGTACGATAAATTCTGAACACTTTTTGTATAACATATCATGTCTCTAAAAACAGCTGTTTTCGTAATAATGACGTTTGAAAATTGATATTTTGAAATACACACAAGTAATTAAATAAAATGTTTAAATTGGACAATATTGAACATTTTCTTAAAAGCAACAAAACACCAACCTGGTATGCTAAATTTTATGTTAAACAAAACAATTTTTTTCGTATTAATCGTTTTTCATTCCTTGACTCCAAAACCATTTTGATGTAGTATTTTGTGACAATAAAAATCAAACTATCACCGGCGTTTAGTGTCATTTTGTCAGTTTTACGTTTCATTTTAAGAATGCATTTATCTGAGAAAGAACGTATTGAAGTACTTATGATGATTGGTTTTGGAGACAGAGTGCATACTCAACAAGAAGTGTGTAATTTATTTAATGTAATTCATCCTGATCGACCTCCAATTACTAGATCTACTGCCAGCAAAATTGAATTGAAAGCTGAGCACGGCTACGTTACAGATTTACCTAAAGGAATACCAGCAGAAGTATCAGAAGATTCTAGATGTTTTACTACAAATTAAATAATCCCCATAGGACAATCTCCAGGAATTGTAATGTCTTCGGGATCAGTGTCACAAATACTCCAAAAAAATAAATATCATCCTTATAAGGTTCAATTGATACATGAACAGAAAACGATTTTGACCGAAGACAGTTTTGTGCGCAGATAATTGAGATGAATAATCAAAATATAGATTTCACCAGAAAGATTATTTTTTCTGATGAGGCTACTTTTGTTTTAAATGAACATGTAAACAGACAAAACTGCAGGTACTGGACAACTGAAAATCCTCGTTGGACACAAGTCAGTCACACACAGCATCGTCAAAAAATAAATGATTGGGCAAGTACTATCGGAAACCGAATTCTTGGACCTTATTTTTTGAAGAAAATTTAAATGGAGAACGCTACTTAGACTTTCTTAAGTTTGAACTCATCCCCGCTTTAGCTATTGTGTTTCCTAATCCACAAGATCCAAATATTCCTCATAATGAGATATGGTTCCCACACGATGGGGCACCTCCTCATTTTGCAATTGCAGTTCGACAGTTTCGTGACTTAACTTTCCCTAATAAATTGATTGAACGCAGAGCTCCTATTGAGTGGCCACCAAGTTCACCGGATTTAACCCCTTTAAATTTCTTCTTATGGGGTTATTTGAAATTTAAAGTTTATGTGAATAGATCAAATAATCTTGATGACCTGAAACAGAGAATACGCCATGAAATAAGACTTATTCCAGCAGAGGTAACTGAAAACGTTCAACGGGAAACAATCCTTGGACTACAGAAATGTATTGAAGTATACGGACAAAACATTGAACATTTATTATAAGGCAACTGTTATTTAAATACTGTTTTATGATTAAACATTTTGTTTTCCATTTATTACATTTCAAACATCATTATTACGAAAACCGCTGATATGAGGGATATGGTATGTTATACAAAAAGTGTTCAGAATTTACCGTACAATTCAAAATTGGCATAATATACAGGCCATCAATGATGACTGCAAATGTTCTTCTTGAGACAACCTGTATACAATTTTACTAATCGTCGTAAATCGTAGCGTTTTTTCACAAAATAATTATCTGAATTTTAAACGTATTTGTTCCTTTCATCATGAACGCATTATATACACAGAAAATACTATAATGAAATATTATACAATTGTGCCTATTCTTTATCATCATTATGATTGTTTAGACATCCAGGAAGAGAAAAAGAAAAGCTTTAGGAACCTTAAAAATACTGTAGGCAATACTAGTAATTAGTTTACTAGATTTGTTGTTTCCTTCTCCTTTTAAAGTCCTTCTCAATGACATCATTTGCTTTTATTAGAACATAAATGGATTTTAGGCCCTGTCCGCTGTTCTAGAGTCCAACGAATCTCTCGGCGATAATAATTCAAAGTATTAATCAATAGAACGTTATTCGGGACTACTCTGGGCGGCGGGGCTGGTAAATTAAGTCCATCAGACTTCTATTTCCTCTGGTCCTGCTGTAACCCTCTCCAAAATAAACATTTACATGAAAATGAATCGCCCAGGGGCTGCCGCTAAAGCCGCTTATACCTGCTAGAAAATGACTGCATAGGTAATTGGTGCCGAGAAATTGCTAACGTGTTTTAATGAAACCACTTCCGGGAAACGGTAAAAATGTTGCGTCGAATAGTGGATATATCATAATTGTCAATTCGTAAATGTTGGGTACATTTAAAATGATCGAAAGGGATAATAAATGTAGATATGAAGTGATATCGACAAGAAATGTTGTTGTACTTCCGTATATCTTTTTATTAATAGCTATGGTAGAATATATTTTCTGTAACCTACACAGTAAAAAAAAATTGATAATTCTTGGTTCAAAGTTGGTGCAATTCTATTATTCTTAAGTTAACTGGTAAAATAATGTTATAGTGAAAGTTTTACATATACATCTTACAAAATTTCATAAAATTTACAAAATATGACAGACAATATTAGCAAAAACTACTATTATTAGTAACTACTAAAACTATCATTAAACTGCAGAGTGACATAATTTTCCTAATCATACTTATTACTATCTTTTCCCCAAGTATTTTCCCCAAATTTTGCAAGTAAATACATGAAATTTGTTGAATAATTCAGAATAATTATTACTTTGGGTCGTTGGTGTCATATAGACGCAAAGTTAAGCCACATGCAGCTTATAGCGATATAGCGTCTATATGAGACCAGCGGCTAAAATATCAAAAACGATTAACTAAAGACTTTTTCTTCTTGTTCCAGGATCATCCAAGCCTTCGGGGGACCCCTCTGGCGATGCTAGCGGCGCAGTGCAACAAGCTCTCCAGTAAGTCTCCCCCACCTCTGGCCGACGCAGCCGTCGGCAAGGGATTCCATCCCTGGAAGAAGAGCCCCCAGGGCGCCCCATCACCCGGAAGCAGCGTCTCCTCCTCCAGCTCCCTGCCCCAGAGGTCCTCCGCGTCGAACCCGACGTACTCCAGGTCCGTAATGACCTCGTGCTCGAGCGTTCCCACAACTGCTTCCTATGGAAGCGACCTGTACTTCCCGGGAGCCACCACGCAGCCAGCGGTCGCGGACAACTCTCATGTTCACCACCACCAGAGCTCGCTGTTGGGAAAGGTGGAAGGTGCTGCTACGGCTCACCACGCCGCTTTGGGTTCGGTGTATTCGAGACACCCGTACGAGACTTGGCCTTTCAATACTATGTCGAGTGCTACGCACCATGGAGGAATTAAAAGCGATTCCGTGACGTCTGCAAACGCTTGGTGGGATGTGCACTCCACGGGGAGCTGGTTGGATATGAGTGGAGCGGCTGGAATGCACGCTCAGATGGCCGCTGCTAACTATTCCCCTGATTATTCCAGTTTGACTCACTCGCTAGCATCGAATCACTTGCTGTCCTCTGGACAGCACCTCCTGCAAGATACTTACAAGTCTATGTTACCTGGCGCGCAAAGCGTAGGTGCGTCGTTTGGTTTACACGCTGGGTCCGCACCTTCACCTACTGGAGGTGCTGGTGGTCTACCACCTCAAGTACCATCCCCTAGGTCTCAAAGGAGGTATACCGGAAGAGCAACCTGCGACTGCCCCAACTGCCAAGAAGCTGAGAGGTTAGGACCTGCTGGTGTCCACTTGAGGAAGAAGAACATCCACAGCTGTCACATACCTGGTTGCGGGAAAGTCTACGGTAAAACGTCACATTTGAAGGCTCATTTAAGGTGGCACACCGGCGAGAGACCGTTCGTGTGTAACTGGTTGTTCTGCGGTAAAAGATTCACCAGGTCCGATGAACTACAACGACACTTGAGGACGCATACGGGGGAAAAAAGGTTCGCTTGTCCAATTTGCAACAAGCGCTTCATGAGGTCAGACCATTTAGCTAAACATGTGAAGACCCATAATGGGAATGGGAAGAAAGGCAGTTCAGATAGTTGTAGCGACTCCGAGGAGAACAGTCAAAGCGACATGAACAACGTAAATTCCCCAGCTTCTATGAACCAGACACCTCCACCTTCGGCCAATATGGGGTTGGATATGGTGACGGGGATGGATGTGAAGCCTCCTGGCCTGGTTTGAGGCCGGTGGGGCCCTGCGCTGCTCTACCCCAGCTATCCCCGCTAGCGGGCGGGCCCCTCAAGTGACGCGACTTGTATAAATGTGTATATATGTGAATGGACAGAGCTTTAGTTATTACTACTTTCGCTTATTGAACCCATTGTATATATTATCTACTGGTCTGGTTGATGATGGCAGAAAATCCATGGAATGGGTAAAATTCGTCAAAATAATGTAGATGAAACAGACACGTAAGGTTTTATTAAATTTAAACATAAAGAATATTGAAAGACATACATATGTATACAAAGATAGTTCACAAAATTTGAATAGTATCGATTGTTTTTCATGCTTGGAGTGTTTTTATAGGGTATATAACCTCTGATTTTTGGGATACAGGGTGTCGAATTAAAAAAATGTATTCTTTTCCAATATATCTGAAGACTGGTTAAATTAACCTAATTAAAAGCAAATATTCACTGCATTGCATTGTTGCAAATATGCCAAACAGTGGCGTAGATACTGGAAGGGCGCAGAGTATTGTGGAAATCTATAATTATTGCACATAATTGAAATATTTCTAGGGAAGATATTTTCTACTTTATTTAAAGAACAGGCCATTTTCAAAAAAGCGTTTAAAATAGGTTTATCACACAGTTCAAAAAAATTAAAATAACTCTGGATCTATTTCACAAAATAATACATACATACAGATTTTTTTTTAAACATGTTTTAATTAGTTGAAGAATAACAGGAGCACAAATTTAAAATTCTACCAATTGCTTTTTGGATTGTATTTCTAATAACTTACTTTAGGTACAAAATTCGCTTTCTGAAATGAAAGACATCTTTTTCTTAAAGTGCTCTCAAAATTCTGGATATCCTAGTGACAATGTCTTCCACTATTTCCACCACTGGTTAACGAGTTTTTATACTAATTCAATAGATTTGTAGCCTTTTGCTTTTAATCGCCCAAATCAACTGTATTGTTAACTCAAGAATCAACATTCCACGTCTTCAGATATATTTGGATATTATATATTTTTTTATTTCGACATCATATATCTCGAAACTAGTGGTTTTAGATCCTATTTCATTTAAGCTAAAGGAACATCATCCTGAACTTATGACATGGACTTAGAACCCTTAAGCCCTATACTAGTCTTTACGTAAAAGTAACAGTTTTGGCAGACCACAAATTTATTCATAAAAAAGCGACAAGTTCAAAATTCGGGATCAGGGTAATTGACTTTTTGATGATGATGAGTGGTTTTGCCGAACTACAGAATTTGATTACTCGCAATTCTTTCTTTTCTTCAGTGTAATTTTTAAAGAATTGCTGATAAACTTGATTAATTGTGTTAGTAAAGAATTTGCATTAAACTTGAACCAATCATTTTCTCGAGCTTTACCTCGTTCTCGTGAAAACCAGACCGCCTTGTATATATTTATATATTTAACTGTGTAAGTGTCGCAGAAGTTTAAGGTGAATGAGAAATGTGTTTTGTTATAGCTGTCAACCGTCATCCTGTTTTCCTGAGCTTTACGTCATACATTTTTAATACTACATCCGATTCGATTAATTTATAATTATTGTATCGTTAGGCTCATGTTTCTCCTTTCGCCAAAGATTCTGTAATTCTTATAAATTGTATCTATATCTGTAAATTAATATTTAAGAGCTTTTGTGAACACGTTGAGTATAAATATATAATTTTGAATCTGGATATTAAGCTGTGGTTTTATTTATTTTGTCTATAATTTATATATTTAAAGTTTTACGTAATATAAATTTTAATATCTGGATCATGACTTTTATTTCCATTGCCCGTTTCGTCCTTCCAAAATAGAAAACATCTATTAGAGATTCTTATACATCAGTGAGAAAATCAAGCATATTAGATTTGTTAAAATTAGAAAAAAGAGGAATATACAAATATAAAGGAGTCTTCTGTTGTTGGAAAAAACTAAATAAATAAATAAAAGGAATACACATGTAAGTGGAGGTAAGTAGAGACATTTTTTCGAATAACAATAGAAACAAAATGAGACCAATTGTTAATTTATAAGTGAAAAATTTGAAAATTTGCTTTGGAAAGCTTTCGAAAGTACAAAAAAAAATCACGACAATTTTTTTTATAGGTCATAAGGAAATTATAAAAATAACAAAGTAAAAAAAAGAAATAAAGGATACACTGTTGGTTTTGCCAGAAAAAAATGATTAAACCAGCTTTTTATGTTATGGTATTAAATAAATTAAAAATTATAAATCAGGAAAGTTTCACAGGGACTTTATTTCTTCTCAAATTTATTGCTTCATATTTCTTTATATAATCGAAATGAATTTCAATTTGGCATTTTTTTTAAGGTAAAATATCGATTTGACCTATTTTTAGAGTCTTATGATATAGGCTATTGATTCTAGAATTTTAAAAGATATAATTTAAATTTAAATACTTAAAAATAAGATTTTTTGATTTTTTTTACTTTTTTGACTCGTTTTATTTTTAGTAGAACTAGGCAAAGAAAATTGCTGTACAAAAAAACTAGATGAGATTCTCTTCAAAATGATGCGTTTTCAAAAGTTTTAGGACTAATGTTGACTGATTGTGGGTTATAACCGGTCAAACTTAAATTTTTTTAGATTTTTGCCATTTTTAACATAAATTAAGAGTCACAATAAAAAAAATTGTCAAAAAACAAGTTTCAATTCTCTCCAATATGTTGAAATCGAATCAATTCTAACGTTAGTCATAAAATTCTGTTAAGCTTTTCTAATTTAAAAATCTATATTTCTCTTAAAATAACGGGTATACTGATATTTCAATTATAATAACAGTCACGGCTATTGGACCGAATCTGGGACACACTGTACATGATTAATCTATTTTCCGAAAATTTTGAAAAAAAAAACAGTCGATATTCGAGAAAAATGTGGCGAATATCACATCTCGATATATTAATTCATTTAAACACATTAAAAAACAAACTATTTATGATATTGTAGGAAACTACTACTCTGCGGACTAAAGCTCCGTCCATAATATCTAGTAAACATGTTATGTTTCACTCTTATTAATCAAAATTTTGTTATGTAGAAAGATAAAAATAGTGTATTCAAATATTATTAATGTAAAAGATAAAAATTATCTTTCTCGTTATTTCTTTTTTTATTTTTAATAGCACCTCTTTGACCCACTATAGATAATCAAACTTATTTCTGTATCGGAATATTTTTCGAGTGACATTTGGAATTGATATATGAATATTTACAGATAAAATTGAAGACTTTTACAAAAGTAAACTGAAGTTTCCAATATGTTTAAATGAATTATTATTATGTTATTCTTACTTTTATTCGTACCTATAAGTTCTATGTACTGATTTGTCCTTTAAACAAATTGTTTTTTTTTTTGTTCAATTATATCTTGATAATATAGGCTTTTGTACATTTACTTTGCCTTGAAACTACTTTACTAATTCAAATCAAGTCTAAAAAGTTTTCAACTAGTGAAGACTTATACCTACGTATTCACTTTGATACCAACATCTTGGTGAACCAAAAAATAACTAAAGCAAGTTATTGATATTGTAGAAAAAACTTATCTATGGACTAAAACTCCGTCGAGTACTTATTTTTATATTTTTAGGTAATTATTAATTAATGGCGAGACATAACATGTTTACTAGATATTGATGGAGTAATTAAATGCAATACAATATCATTAATAGCTTGTTTTTGAAGTTTCATTTTAGCATACTTATCTAAATGTTGGTGTCAAAGAACAAGGTATAATGAAATGAAAATTTTTGGACTGCGTACGCTTGAATGTAAAGTAGGTAGATGTATTTGGTGCATCGATGCAAAAAATGCAGGGCATAATGAAGAATAATAAATATTTTAAAAATTGGAAAAAGTAGGTATTTCATTTAAACAAATAAAAGTTTGTGTTGTTCCTAATTGGAACTGGAAATTACTGGAAAACAACGCCTACGTCACTAAATTTTACACAGAAAAACTATTTAAAAAAAACATCTTTACGAAAATCAAAAATTTGGGATATAGAAAAGATTATACAATATGAACAGAAGGGCCGTATTTTTTTAAACAGAAAGAGGACTATTTTTAAAACGAATCCGACCCAAAATTTATCCTAGAAACGTTAATTGAGCGGAAGTCCTTAACCGATAAATCACGCCGAAACGATTCCGCCGCATAAACGTAACATATGCGCCCAGAGGATCATAAACGAGCTGGTGAATTAATTATACGTGCCCATAATACAAGTCCTTTGGCAACTCCGTCGCTTTTTAGGCATAGCAGGAAGAGCAAATGGGATGAAAAAAAGTTGATTTAGTTGGTTCTGACGGTGTTGACTTGCCAGACCGTGTCATCTCGTTAAAAAGAATAAGGTCAGAGTGTCGTTCTTTATAGCAACTTGTCCCGGGAACGAGTGTTCCCGCTGATAAATTAGCCTTTCATCGCGCCAACTATTTAAATTGCCTTGAAAAATTGCTGTGATGCTTCACAATTAAGAGGCGTTTACTTTTGGTTTATGTTAACGAGACGGAATTAGATCCAGCCATTGCTTTCGTATAAAAAACGAGAAAGTGGAAGCTGCTGCTCTCAGCTGGATACGTGATAATTAACTTGATGTATCATTGTACCAGAATTAAGAACAGAAGGAAATGTTTGTTTTATATGACACAGGAATATATAGAATCTCTTTCCTTCTCTTTAAATATTACACTGTCATTCACTTTTCATGTCATAAAGGGTCATGTGTTGCAAGTGTTAAAAAACATTGCAAGTTTACTTTATCTTTATCCTATTTAGCAGGGTTACAAAAAAAGTGTGTTAGGTCGTGAATCAAGCCAGCATATCCCTACCATCAAGACGCTACTCTAGAAAGTGGTTTTCTAGACTTTAAACTGACTCTAGTAGTCAGTGATTGGAAAATCATTTGAATGCATAATCTTCCATTGCACCATGGCCCAATAGCTTCCTAGCTCGATAACCCAGTATGGGCGGCTGTGTAGAATCATGAAGCTCTATGGGGCTAGAGTTTCGAAACTACTGTTGCGTGTTTATGGATTTGCTAACCCTATAATCCGGGGTATTTATTTATTTATTTATTTATTTATTTATTTATTTATTTATTTAATTTCATGTTATTACACAAAGTGTTTACACACGTCAAAACTGAAAAGAGAAAGAAAGAAAGAAAGAAAGAAACACATTAAAACAAAGTAAAATAGGTCATATATTGAATAATAGTTATACCTATAATGAAACATAATAAAATAGTAAAAAAAATGTGCATAATTAAAATCATAAATATATACAGGGTAATACAATACATTAAGTTAGATTAACATTACTCACAAAAAACTGTTCAATATCTTAAAAAGAGTTAATTATTTGAAACAATTTTATTCTGTTTTTAAACTGTCTATTGTTCAGATTTATTATATGCATTGGTAAAGCATTATAGAGACGTAACCCAAATATTCTGTACCATTTCTCGTCCTATTCAATCTAAAGAAATTTGTGGCCAGATTGTTTCGTGATCTAATATTATTCGCATGGAATTCACTTCTAGTCTGAAATGAGCTCAGATTTTCTTTATGAGACACTA